GCCCGAATATTTATTATCGGCAGTTCAAAGTATATAATAAGAACTTTGTTCTTATTTATAGTGTTGCCGTTGAACTTTGTGACACCTATTGTTTAAATAAACGGTAATTTTATGGACTTATGAGGTATTATTTATTGTACGTTAAAAATTAAAATGACAACCCAGAGCCGTAATTTTAATGAAAATATAGCATATACAATATACGTTGAAGATTTACTTATGTAAGGAATAACCGCTGTCTTGAAAATGGTACGTAGGTAGGTAGCTTGACTGAACAAATCTATTTTATTTCATTTTTGCTATTTGACATTTTCATTGTTTTTTTTTTATTTTATTTATTTATTTTATCCATGAATGGTTTGAAATCATTAATTGTATTTTTCTACTATGGTCTATGGACTGAAATAAACAATTATTATTATAACGAAATAAGCTAATGTACCTAATGAATTAGCCAAAAAGTTCGCATGGTCTTGGCCACTGGTTAATTTTAAAAATAGAACATTATTTTGTCTTTTAAAATGTTTACTTTTAAAGTTGTCTAACATTTCAAACATGGAGGTCCATGACTTTGTCTACTCGGATAGGAGTCAGGCATGACAATACGTAATGTAATATATATTGTCTATGGTCATTTTAATAACAATATTTTAAGAATATGCGGGAAAATGTTAAATTTGTAATTCATTACATTAAAAAAACGCCCAGAACTGGCATAGGTGTCGTATTTCATCATGATAATGCCACACACATCTTTACAAAGCCGTCAAAAACCATTGCAGTTAGATTGGAATGAACTGCCTCCTACCGTATTCACCCGACATAGCCCTTTCAGATTTTCACTTGTTTGGGTCTTTACAAAATTCTTTGAATGGATACGACTTTGATAACGAAGAGCCCATCAAACCACACTCAGGGTTGTATTTTATAAGTAAAAACAGAATGTTTTTATGAAAGGGTAATTCTAAAATTACCCAAAAGGTAGCAAACGATTGTAGATTAACATGGTCAACACAATATTATTTGATTAAAATATTAAAATTTGAACATTATTTTTGAATTGTTTTTCATTATTCTTTGATCTTATGCAATTGGCAGCCATATTACTAAGTAATAACATTTCAAGGCAATTTTAGCAACGAAATAATAACTTCTAATATAGGTATTTCAAAAAATGTTTTGTAACACTCGTTAGCTGCTTTCAAAAGCTATAGAATTCATTTGAAATTCAATGCAAGCTAATAACTGCGTTTTAAACCTAGGTTCAAAACCAAGGTTCGATGTAGAACGTTTGAAGGCTTTAAAGCTTTAGTAGAAAACTTCATCTTAGTGACGTCTATTCAAGCCTTAGTGACGTAGGTACCTATATCGTTGTTGCAACGTTCAATATTGTTCCAAGCCTAACTCCATTTATGTCCTGATCAAAATGTAATAATCACCTGTAGTTATCAAGTTCCGAAATACATCAAGTATTTTTGAGTAATAATTGGTTTGGAGGATTTGAAGCCTTATTTGAAGATTAAATGGTACTAGAATGGATTTCCTTTTCAAACCAGCCTTAAGGTGCATTTAAATTCGAACGAATTATTATGTTTATTAAGTTCCATATCGTCTGAAAGGGTTGTAACCCTAACTAGCCGTGAACATGTTCACGGCAATGAAATGGGAAACTTCCGGTCCACAAAATTTATTAAAGAAGTAAAGTTTTAAGAAAGGCTGTAACAATATAAAGGTAAACGTAAAAAAAAACAGGTATAACAGCATAAAACACTCCCTACACTTTATTATTAAGGCACTTACCCCTAAATGGGCCGAGAAATTAAATTACAAAAATATAATAATAATAATAACGCACACACTCAACATAGCCCCGCACTAGGGAAACCCTGTGTCGCGGGTGCCATGGACACACACATAGACAACCACAAATTACACCCAAACTCACGAGAGAAATAAATGTAGGTCATACAAATATTTCTCCCGGCCCGGGAATCGAACCTGGGGCCTCTGCGTGGCAGTCCGGCGTGGTAACCGTTCGGCCACGGAGGCAGTTATATATATATACATGAAGGCTGTAGACTTATAAATTATTACACATGATTAGCTTATTAACAGCTCCGACTGTTGTGGCGGTCGAGTTGGGAGTGATCGTGGTACGAAAACAAAATGAGAAAGTGAAGGAAGATGGAACAATTAAAATTTAAAATTTAAATACATATAAAAAAAAAAAGATAGGATACAAGCGGAGAGAGGCGATACAAAGAGGTGAGATGACGGTGTAAGGAGGTCACGGTGTGCATAGGCTTTTTTCAAAAACGGATGATTTGCCATTGCAGATGATGAGATCGCAGAAAAGATATATATTGCGTAGGGTGAAGTGTCTGCCTGTCTCTTGATTAATCGGTTTTCAACGATGAGAAGATAATGGAGTGGTCGTGTAATTTAAGGACATACTTGAATCGTCCGCACTTAAAAAGGTCTATAGCAAATACCTGGCATAAATGAGTTTATGCGTAAGTATTGATAAGAATAGAGTAATTAATAGAAGAAAGAACAAGAATAGAATTTAAAGAGAAGTAGGTTTGTAGAAATTGAGAATCAGATCGATGCGTACCTAAAAAAAAGATGCTTGTTATGTAAAAATGCACCTTATTCATGAGAAATACTGTACACAACTACATATCACCACAAAAGAAGGGAAGTATATAAAAAGGCGGTGTTATTTCCGATTTATTTACTTCTGGCAAACACTAAATTTTTCTCTGCAGAAAAAAAAAATCCGGAGAAAAATGTTATGGTATTTAATTTTAATAAAGAGGAGTCATAGAAGATGATTTAGGCCACAGACTGCCAACTAATGCGGGCTGGGGACTTCACAAGTTTTTGAAGTATTGTGAAGCTTCTTCGACGTATAAGTTTCATCATGATATTTTCCTTTAGAATTAGTGAGATGTGTTGCTACTAAATTTTCACATATGTACGTAATGATAGTTTGCTCGATTTTTTGACGTTAACACGTGTGATCAGACTAAATCGAGTAAATGTGTAAGCAACCGATGATCGATAACAACTGTGGAATTTAAATTACGCGTTAGAGCCTACAAATTTGTTAGGTTTTAAACTTTACAGTGTCTATATATTCAAATCGACCAAACCTGTAGGCACTTTTACGTGATTGTAGCGAAACGTTGCTAGATATTCAAACTGTAGTGTTCATATTTGAAAATGTACCGCTATTCCAATGGGCTACTTTCGCTCGAAATCATATAGTGCAGGTGTCAATGAAACGGGTGTGGTAAGTATGTAATGGAACTGAAAATACTTGCTCTCCCTCTACGAAGCACTCAGCGCGAAGTTTTGAAATGTTATTGCACATTTGGCAACAATAATATAACCGAGAGTTTTTTTAAACTTTAACTCAGATTTCGAAATCGCTCGAAAAGTACCTTAATAACGTCAATAATATCTATAATAATAATAACGCACACACTAATAGCCCCGCACTAGGGAAACCCTGTATCGCAGGTGCCATGGACACATACATAGACAAGCACAAATTACACACAAAGTCACGAGAGAAACAAATAGAGCCAAACAAATATTTCGCCCGGCCCGGGAATAGAAACCCGGGACCTCTGCGTGGCAGCCCAGTGTGGTAACCGTCCAGCCACTGCGACAGTTAATTTATTACGTTTAGATCGAACTACTGCGGAATAGGAAGATTGAGTTCGTAAAATGATTAAAAATACACAATACCTGATTCTCGGTTATACTGGTTCAACTTATTTGATACGGGGATTGTTATACAAAATCAACTACGTATTCTGTCACCAAATGTTCTGAGAACAGTGTACCGCGGAAGAAAACATTTTAATTAGCACAGGAATTGTCAATTTCAAGTAAAAGTCAGACCAGTATGGTTGGGCACGGACAATCGGTCAACTTTTATATTTTGACGACAAATACTTTTAAGAAAAATTCATGTGTGACCGACAAAAACTCGATAGATTTCATTCCGGACTTTCAATAGTATGACAATGCATCAAAAAACATTTATAAAGCTCAGGACATGTAAAGGGTCCGAAACGATGGTTTGTTTGAAAAAACAAATATACCCGATTTAAATCCGAAAAAAATAGCTTTACTTCCTATGTGTACAAAGTTTGATGAGACTGCTAGTTTACACGTCCATTCAGCGAAATTTAAAGATAAAGAATAACTTGCCAGTCAATATTTAATTTTATCTTGTTTTGTTTTAACCCTAGCACTTGCTTTCAATCGAGTGGTTTAAGTTTAACCCCAAAGTGAGAGAACTGGGTCAAACAGAGGACAGATGTTAACAACACTTGCCACATTGAACCGTGTTGATCTACGTTGCATCATGTCGAGCGCGAATTTGTGGCAATCAATAACCAATCTACTATGCGGTTTATTAGCACTAGGATAGTTTGCGATAGATTCTTAGCACCTTCAATTACTTTTTTCAATTTAATATCTCGATGGTATACTTTGATTACTTATGTCAAAGCCAAATAACTTTTATTTCATAAGTTAGCAACTTACACTTGAAATAGTCATACTGACTAAACTCTACTGCAGATTCCATTAAGAAGAACGAGCATGAGACTCTAGGGTTTGTTTTTATAATATATACATATGAATACATTTATCATTACAATATTTATTTTAAACATCCTAGATAGAGAATACCCGAAAGAGCTAAACTAGCCACTACCATGGATTTTTGTCATCTAAGTATGCAGAACTTGTATAATAACCTTTAGTATAAAGTTTTTGTTTCACAATAGTTTTAAACCTCGTAAATGACAAATTTTGAATATCAATCGGAACCTTATTATAGAAACCTATACATTGTCCCTGAAACGAATTTGAGACTTTATGAACGACTGTCAAAAACAGCTAGTTTAGTTTTATTCCTCGTATTAATGTTATGTCTGTCACTATTTTTCATTAAAAAAATTATTTTCTTTTATGGTTCTTGTCATTATCTGTTAAAAGTCAAGTTCTTATTGAACTCTAGAAAGCTGGCATGACATTAGAGTTCATGTGGTTAGTAGAAGAAACAAGTTCTCTGAATTCCGCAACACATAGACCTAATCAGTCAGCTTTTACATGCAAAAATGTTTCTACTGTCTGTACACACTAAGGTACAATATCCACGAACGTAAAGCAAAAATATCTGTGTTTTAGTAACTAATAATTATCATCATCACTTCAACTGAAAGATATCCCCCAAATATCGCTACAATTACCACTTTTGCTCACATTCAGCGGATTCCCACAACATGTTATACCAGATCATGTTCCACACTCATATTAATAGAACTAATGGCCCCAACGGCTATCTGTCCTACGAACAGTATGCCCGCCTACTGTTACTAAAGTCTAGTCATTTTTTGGACTACGTCGGTAACTCTATTTCTAGATATTAATAAAAGTTAATTATTAGGACCCAGTGGCGTTGAGATCTTAAAATATCGCAAAACTTTTGGTTGGTAAAACAAAACTCTTTTTCGCCGTGATATAGAAATTAATGAACCAAATATCTCTAACAATGCAATATAAGTAAAATAATCAAACACAAACCTGGACGAGCATATTTCTTATTCTCAAAGTCAGGGTCATCCCAAGGTTGCCGATCGGACGTAGTGAATAGAATATAGATGAGATTGCATCCTAACGTTGTCCCTGCCATTGTGAGAAACACGGTTCGCCAGCCATTTAGATCCGTCTGGAAAACATAATTCTCATTGAACTTATACCCATTTCCTGGCCTTACACAAGATAATATTTTGCAGTATATACATCAGAGTACGAATGCCCAGATATCGTTTTTAACTCACCGGATCATTGTTAAGGGCAAAGCTGGTAAAAATGGGTATGACGACCGAGAACAAATTGGCGACGAAGTTCGTCAGCGATAGTAGTAAGCCGGCAAAATTCGGGGACAGATCCAGATGATTTAACTGCAAAATTAAGTTTAAATTTCATCTTAGAGCAAATCACGATGATCTGCAGGTAAAAAAAATCTTAAGATATTTATAATTTTTGTTGCTTTCTTTACAAATAAATAAGAAAGTATCATCGAAGGGTGCATAAATACTTATGGTGTGATATCTCACCATGTACCCAGAAATGTAGAAACCTGTCATAGTTAGGGCGAAGATCAACGACGCGACGGCGATCGTTCTGCTCTGCGGGCCTAAATACGCTAGTATCAGTAGCCCGATTGATACGCCGATTGAACCTGAAAAATATAATAAGGAATATTTTTTAACATGAAGAATTTTTTGATATCCATAATATTAACCTTAGAGCTAAGTCCAAACTCATGGTACCACGATTTCGTTTAACCAAGGTAAACAACTCTTTTATGGGGAACTGTATACGTTTTTACAATAAGATTCCGGAGCATATATTAAGTTTATCATTTCCTAAGTTTAAAAACTACATTAAAAATATTTTGATCGAAAAATCATATTACAAAATTGAAGACTACGTGTTAGATAAAGATGTATGGAAAGACGACATGGCTCCAGAATCCACACAAATTTGATTCAAAGTGTATTCCATAGCATTTAAGTTTATTTGAAAAGAGCAATCCCTAGAGTTTCTTGCTCGTTCTTCTCAGGGAGGTCAGCGTAGTGAACGAGAAGTAGCTTAAATGTGACGTTTTCAAGTGTAAATTTATTTTACCTATGGAATAAATAATCTTTGACTTTGACTTTGACTTTGACTTTATAAACCTCAATATATATTGTGGAACAAGTAGAAAGCCGAATTACTGCGGTAACATCGTCACCACATTAGGAACAATCAGAGATGGGCGAGCAAGCGTGCGGGTTTTAAGTTTGTTGTTTAAATCGGGTTTAAACCCATTAATGCCCAGAATCCAGGGCATAACTATAGCTAAATATTTGTTTGAAATCGAGTTTTGTTCAAATTTAATGATATTATTACAAAAATTTTATTGCTTTGTGATCTAGACGATTCGATTTGCCTTTCTATTGAATCGATTCGCCTGAAAATAGCTTTGAAATAAACCAATACAAAAAATCGTTCTTCATAAAAATTTTATCGTAATGTCCTTCCTTAGTAGTGAGAATCCACAAGATTGCAATGCGAGTATTGTGTGGAGTTACCTTTTTTTCGCCTAAAAACAATATTTTTCATACACCTCATCAACAGAACAGAACACAACAGAAAATAGTACATCGTATCGTTTGACCTTTATCATGTTTAAATTGGCATTGAATTGATATTCAATTATGTTTTTGTGAAATTACTTCACTAGTTTGTTTTAATTATTAATACAAAGATCGAACACTTAGAAAAATCCTTCGATCCGGTCGGATTGGAACCGACGACGTCTTCTAGCAAACCGTGCCAACTAAGCCACGCAACGAACCAGCGAAGCTCACGAATTTTTCTAAGTGCTTGTTGTCGTATCTTTGTATATGGTTTTTCAACGCCTTTTTTAGCCGTAGCGCCATCGATGAGAAATCGATGAAAGTATTTCTTCTCTCCTTAAGGTAACTGCAATTATCATATAAAATTTTTAAATATACAACGCAATTACAAGACTGCAAAGAACTTGAGCAACTCACCAATGCTATTGAAGATCTTTCTGCACCCAACGGCAGATAGCACGCCTGTGTTGTACAGTTTTTGACTGATAATACCAACGACCACCCCGCTGAGCCACATACCTGCATATGGCAAACCTGATAATGCCGCACTCTGTAAGGAACATATTTTGTTTTGAAAAAAAAAAAAAATTTTCAAAGAAGAAATTTTGACTAAAATTAAAAAATTCTCACGTTTCGTAAGGATATTTTGAGCGCCTTCTCGAGGTAGGTGGGCATCTCAGTGAAGAAGAGAACGAAGGCGGTGCCAACGCTGATATGCGCAATCGTGATTGCATAAATAGGTATTGAAGTAAAAATATGCTTCCATGGTGTTCGCAGAGATTTCTTCTGCAAAAGATTTTAAATATGCACACACGTATATCGTACACCTAGAATGCACTTAAAACGCAATTTTGAATAAATGTAACTTTGCTTATTGTAACTAAATCTTAGTCACCGGTTTCTGAACCGCGTAGATATTAAATTGTACCAATCGCATTGACATCGCGTCATAACTACCAGGTAATCTAATAATGGAGTAGTACAAACCTCACTACTAATATTGAGCCCCCGTTCAATGTATTCTTTCTCTTCGTGCGTTATCCATCTATGCTCTCCCGGGGTACTGGCCGTTAGAAATTGCCACATCAATGCCGTCACTACCATCAGGCCCGCCATCACGTAAAAGATCAACGGCCACCCGAGCTTCGTTTCTGCTAAGAGTCCTGACACCGGCATACCTATTATTATACCTAATTGCATTCCTGGAATAACGGATATCAAGCTATGAAAACATAAAGTACTATGTGACAAAAATTCTAAAATTTCACAAGTAGTATTAGTATTGCATAAAACCCCACCTTGTAGGATAATCGGTGTAATCAAATAGGATAGGTATAATGACACGGGTTCAATGTTCCTACGTCGTGAACAATGCCATTTTAAAGGAAGTAGATTGGTTTCCAGTAAATAATAAGGTTCCGGTTGACGTTAAAAATTTGCCATTTACGAAGTTTAAAACTATAGTGTAACAAGAATTTTACACTAAGCATCTTACAGCTCCTACGTACTTAGAGGGGTAAAATGAAGTGATCTGTTAAATCCTTTCAGAATGTTTTTATCTATAATATTTCAAACAAATGATGTCAATAATAAATGTGAACGAAATAATGTACGTTTACACATAGCAACCAGCACCACTCGTCAAAGTTCTGAGGGGCACTTGACTGCACCCGTCACCCTGAGACATAATTTGACAAGTCTCATGTGCCTACAATTTCACCAGCACCCTTCAAACCCGGAACACAGTAATGCTGACATTACTGCTTGGCGGCAGAAGTACGTAATGTGGCAGTACTGCCCGTTCCCTTTCACTAGGAGCTTTACTGCTACTACACGAAGCGAAGTAGGTAGTAAGTTTAAATACGTATAATTACTTATTACTAAAGATGTAATATGTATGTATAATATATGAAAGATGACAAATAAAAGATTTTATTATGAATTTTACTAATTTTATTCTAAAGGGCACCTATCCTATAAGTATCCTCTAAAAAATAGGTTAACATAAAGACAATTTCTTCAAAATCAGTAAAACCAAGTCTTAATGTTATGTAAAGATTAAACTAGTTACATCCATAGGCATTATTCATGGTAAAGAGATAATTTTGAAACTAGGAGACTCTTTCAGAAATTAGGGCACTTATGCTGGTTTTACTGATGTCCATTCACCTAAATACGTCTTAAACCAATGCTTGCAGTGCAAAAAATACTCTTAATGCAGTGTGTATAATACGTACTTAAGTTTAGTGTAAGTGGAATTCAAGTATAGTTTGTTAACCTGTGTGTAGTTGTTATATTTGTGGAGTTGAATTAAAACTAGGCAGCACTTCATATAATATTATATTATAATTTATAAATTCATCAAACAAATTCAAAGAAAATTGTGGTCTGTCTTTCACTATTTATGTTTGATCATGTTATTCACATACATGTGTACTATGTAATAAAACGTTTAATACTGCCGTTATATTATAGATTAACTTCCATTACAACAAAGTGTTATCATAATACGAGTAGCGTGTATTATGCAAATGACTATAATAGATTCTTTATTTTAACTTTCAACATCACTATCTGTAAACCTTTATATCATTAGTAATACATTACGATGAACAATATTTATAGTATATTATTTTTATTGAATGTCATGTTTTTAGTACAATGACATTATTTAATATATTTTTTGTGAAACACAATTTACTTCTTATGGTTGGTCCAGTCGGTGCGACGGAATTTTTCTTTGTATTTGGTCAATATTTGTATCGAATATTTGGCGTCTCGCATTTTTTTATTGGAATAATAATAATAATAATAACGCACACACTCAACATAGCCCCGCACTAGGGAAACCCTGTGTCGCGGGTGCCATGGACAGACACATAGACAACCACAAATTACACCCAAACTCACGGGAGAAATAAATGTAGGCCATACACATATTTCTCCCGGCCTGGGAATCGAACCCAGGACCTCTGCATGGCAGTCCGGCATGGTAACCGTTCGGCCACAGAGGCAGTTTTGCCTTGTTAGTGACATCTAGTGAGAGATTTTTGAATAACTTTCTCACCGCAGCCGATACCTTTACGGCTATCACAATTGACGCAGATGTCCTTTTTCGATCAAATGTATTTTATTGAGATTTTTTGTGAAATGACTCCACGAGGTTTTATTATGATTATGAAAACACAAATCTAACACACATGATTTTTTTTCTTTTCCTCGGATGGTTAGACTAATGGATGTGGGTTTAAGTCCCACCGGGTCGACGAAAAATTTTTCTGTTTGTCCGATCTTTGTATTTATCTCTAGCCAGGGCCGATAGCTGTCAAGTTATCTAACTGGGTAACGGAATACTTTCATAGATTTCTCATAGATGGCACTACGGCTAAAAAGTCATTGAAAACCAAATACAAAAGATCCGACAACCACCACATAGAAGCATTCGTGAGGTCCGCTGGTTGGTTCCATAGCTTAGTTGGCATAGCGTCTTGTACAGTTTGCTAGAAGACGTCGGTTCGAATCCGGCTCCGAATCTTCATATTAATAACAATAATAAATTATTGTTGTCATTATTTTTGCACGAAGAAATTTGTAAAGTTAGAAGTCGGGAAATTTTGGAAATGGCAAAACAATCTACAAGCACGAAATCTTTTAAGTCATCATTTCGGTTTAGTCATGTTAAAGGGAAACGCCGTAATTTTTTTCGTAGAGGGCTTATTAAAATCATTTAATGACATATATAGTGATTCTCCCGAGAAAAATACTTCAAGAATATCTAGCAGGAAGCAATACCTACCTCCATAAATGAATCCTATATACTTGGTTCTCTCACTTTCGGGCAACCACCTACCCAACAGTGTGTGACACGCAGGAAACAGGCAGGCTTGGGTGAGGCCTACACACAGGCGTATCGCACACACCACCATCCAGCCACCCTGGATTCAAAACAAATATGTAAGTCGAAATTGTAACAAATATCGTTATACCATTTCGATACCTCCAATGACCACTACTCTACTTAATTTTTGGTCATTGTCTGTTTTTGACGTAAACAACCTTATTGAAGTATTTGCTAATGTTATGCTCCCCAAATTTTGTGAAAATTATGAAGAAACAAAAAACAAAATTCGAAAAAAAGCAAAATATTCTCAGTGCAGAATATTAAAAAACCGACCTCAAAAATTCGTGAATTTTCATCTATTTGCCAAGTTTTATTTAAATCGGTTGTCTTGAAATTTAAATGGGACCACTACTGAGGCACCCTCTTTCTAACAAAAAAATAATTATCAAATCGGTTAACAAATGAATAATTTTCTGATACGTATAAGTAGTGAATAGGCAGTTTTGGGCACGCGTTTAGCGTATGTATAGAAGATAGGTATAATAATACGCCTGTAGTAATTAATTTCAAGACCGGATCGACTAACACTTTGTAACAATGGGGCACTAAAGGTATGGTCCTATACAAAAAAATACAAATTTATTTTATTCCTACAAAACTATTAGATTTATGGCAAAATATAATAAGACAATATTTAATTAGGACAATAGGATCTCTCGAATGGCATTTATTTTAGAGAGGTATCGTGAAAAAATCCGATGTCCGCAATATCGCTGATCCTACCCACTGTATCGCAAAGTTAAGATAAATATAGTGTACCTGCCTATCCCCAATTACGTCAATTTTTAATGTACTTAAGCGATTTCCCGAATCCCGAACAGGTCTAAGACCCAAAAATATTGTGAACGGCAGTCTGCATTTTCTGTCTGTGTTCCTCGAAGTTTAAGTAAAAAAAAACTCTACCTACCCCTATTCTTGATCGTTACCATTGCTTTACATTACATTACCGCATTGGTAATACTTTCCTGTAAGAATTCTTTCACAATGAGGACTGCTGCTACTTACTACGACTTTATAAGCATTTATAAACGTAGTGTGAATGGTTTCTTTATAAATTTCCACGGCACATATTATTGACGTTCTGCCCGATGGTTTTTTTTGTATTAGATTTGATAGTAGGTACGTATACAAAACTGTCGAGCCTTCCCGGAGCATGTAGTCCTGCTAATTAGTCAATTGCACCTCATGCGAAGTCCGACTTTACAATAACTATGTCAAGACGACGAGAGAGGTTTGTCAAGAGCGTAGCGAGGGGAAGTTTGTAAATAAATAAATGTGGTATAATAAAAGAAAAGGGATAAGGTCTGAAACCGTTTATTCATACGTGCTCCATCGCACGTCGTCCATATGTAAACAAATATCAAACAAAACCCATCGCGCTCGTCTTCTATTCTTAATTTCAAACCATCCCTCTCTCTTGCAAACTCATTCCCTCTCACTCCCGAGTTAAGATACGTTCACCCATCGCCTAAATTATTCTGATACATGCTTTCAATACTAGCAATCCCATATAAAAAACAAAATAATTAATGAAACTCTGCGCGCGGGTGCATGTACACACACATAGACAACCACAAATTTCACTCAAACTCACGAGAGAAATAATGTAGGCCATACAAATATTTCTCCCGGTCCCGAGACCTCTACGTGGCAGACTAGCATGGTAACCAGAAACAGTTAAAGTATTTGATCTCTGTCTACTTCAATAGGAGACAGGTCTGATGACATTATGTATGTGAAGCCTTATTATAAACTACCAGGTCTTAAGCTAAAAACCTAAATGTCACTGTGAGTTTGAACAGCATAATACTTAGTTCAATATAATCAGGTTCCTTATCGCGAAGTAAACAGGAATCATCAATTCTGACAATGATAACATAAATAATCGCAACTGTTTCAACAATCAGACAAAGGAGTTTAATTAATGAATTTCACTATTTACTTTTCATCGCGGTTTTCATTACAGCTTCTACTTTATGTTTAATCATTGTTATTTTGCAATGGTTTTTGTACCTAACCACAAATTTTGCATACAATATGGATTAATTTTAAAGGGAAAGGGTTTATTGATGATCTCTGTGTTTCAACAAAATTGAACGGTACATGAGGAGGTTGCGGTCTGTTAATGAATTCTATGATGGTTCCGTCTGGGTATTCTGAGTGATGTAGCATTTGAATTCGTTAATCTTGAACTTGAATTTTTTGTACCGAAAAATTTTGTTTGGAAACCTACCAAGTTTGTAAACCCATAGACAAAATTTACTAAACAAGAAATTGAAATAAAAATATCTTCACGCCTGATACCGACCAATTTTGAATTAATAAATATAATGTGCTCTTTACATTGAAACTGAAATTTATAAAAAACAATCGGAAGTTTACCTTAAATTAGTTCAGATTTTAATGCCGAGACCTACCCAAGCAGTCAAGACAGGTAGCAGGACACAGAGCAAAGCATTGGAGAGCACTGCCACCTGTAGAATCGGCTTTCCACCGAACCTCTTCAAGAGCAACCCAGCTGGCACTTGCATTAGCACATAGCCCCAGAAGAACGATGACAGGATCAAGCCTTGGGTTTTCTTGTCCCAGTCGTAAATCTGTTGAGAATTTCATTGTTTCAGCTTAAGGCGAGGTACTTCAATGCGATTTACAAATTTTGGGATAAATGTGAATTTATCAGCAGGGTCTCTATAGCACTTAAAGAGACATATCTCCATATTAAAATTGTGTGCAAAGTTAGATATATTGTTCTTATATAATTCGTTTTAAACTTTTATTTTTGCCTATTTTCAGAATTTTATAATATTGTTTATTTACTTTAAACAATGTACAGACATACAAAATAATTAATTATAAATTATAAAATAAGGCTAAGAAAATTGTACATTTCAAATTATGTAAGCCTCTGCAGCCGAACTAGGATTAAACCTGTATCTCAGCATGCAGCGCCTAACCCCAATGGTAACATAAACTTTAGCCCATTATAATTGGTGATCAAATTCGCACAACAGACTACTTAAACAATTTGGAAAATTTAGAAATAAAAATAACTTAAATATTAAAAACATGGAAAATTTGTCAAGAAATGAACACAAACCAAAAAATAGTTAATGCAAAAGGTTAAATGTGAGTATGCGTGTGAATGCGTGTGTGTGTTTAAATGTGTGTGTGTGTGTGTGTGTGTGTGTGTGTGTGTGAGTGTGAGTGAGTGTGTGTGTGTGTGTGTGTGTGTGTGTGTGTGTGTGTGTGTGTGTGTGTGTGTGTGTGTGTGTGTGTGTGTGTGTGTGTGTGACGGGGTAGAATGTGCGTGTGTATGTTGGTATGTGGGAGATAGAGTGTGGATGGATTTGTGGGTGAAATGTGTCAGGGTCATTTTATATGATTAATTGACATACATTCTATTGACGTACATTCTATTGTGTAACGAATTGATACATTCTTCAGATAATATCCTTATGTGTGTCGTATATTTTTTATAAGACCGTTATTTAATAATAAATACCTAAACCATTTGATCTAGGAAAACAGTTTTTCCCACTCCTCTTCCCGTAACTCGCCTTGAAGAGCGAGGATTTTTCCAAGGTTTTAATGAACAGTCGCTTTCTATCATCTACTACATCGTTATTAATCATTGGCTGATATTGTGATCGTATATGTAACCAGTCAAGTGTGTGTCAAGCACGCACGTGATAGGATATAAAATTTTGATTTAGTGAGCGATCTGGAAGAAGAGGAACAACTGTTGTTCCTCTTCTTCCAGATCGCTCACTAAATCAAAATTTTATTTAGTTAGGCCAAAACAATATATCTTAATACTGAAGAATCGAAAATTGTAGCTATTTAAAAAAAGAAACTATTTTTATTTCGGTTTAGGTTTAAAATTAAGTGCGGACGGTTTGACGTGACTTAATTCTGTTTTTTGTCGGTGTTACGGAATCCCAAAGGACTTTCCTCCTACTATTGAGTTTCCCTTTGTCCGCCCGCAGGAGATTATTTACGGTTATAATTAGGAGTTTCCTCAGTAAGTATTTACACACTTACTGTAGCGAAATGTAGTTTTATGATATTCATTTCCTTTACCGTTAAATTATATACATACACGCAATCACACCTGTCTCTCTCTGCCAAGTCTTGGTCAAAAGTACGATCTAATATTATATACTACTAGTATTAGACCTGCATTATTAACTACATTTTTCAGTGAATCTTGTGTTCTTGTATTCTAGAGTAGGCAGGCTCTTTTGTCATCACCACAGTGTATAAGAAAAAATCGTGTTTCTTCCTACAGACTTTTAGTCCACGATAAGTATTTGTCTGGTCGTGGACCTCACATAATACTAATTAATTGGGAATCGAGGGATACTAATTCATCTAGTACACCTAATCCAATATGGAGTGTTGTTGTGGGCACTGAGGCCGTATTCCAAGACCACATAAGTATTCGATGAAGAGCGTTCGAGGCCCGCAAAGCACTTAAATACATCAGCCACGGCTACAGCTTTCTGACTGTTGCAGTGAAAACCCTAAGTTCCTGGGAGTCACAGGCGAAAGTTCACATAATAGCGATGTTGCACGGACGCTGTTGGTCTGAAACCGCAATACCCCTCCCCGCTTCGTCTTCTGGTTCCTTGTCCGTTTCAATGCACCATCTGACTTTTAGTCACGGTTACAAACAGACGGTTACAAACATTGTAGTTAGAAACGAAAAATTGAATCTTGTGGATACAGTTGTATTTCTAGGTATAACGTTAGATGCTAAATTGCAATGGGGTCCCCATATAAGTAAGTTATCAAAACGGCTCGGTTTTGCAGTGTACGCGATAAAAAAAATAAGGAAACTTTCAGACGTCGAAACCGCTAGATTGGTTTACTTCAGCTACTTTCACAGTCTAATGACATACGGCATTTTGCTTTGGGGTAATGCCGCCGATATCAATAGAATCTTTGTCCTGCAGAAACGTGCAGTTAGGGCAATTTACAATCTGGGCCCCAAAGTATCTTTGAGAGATAAGTTTAAGGAAATTAACATTCTTACACTAGCCTCACAGTACATTTATGAAAATGTAATTTATGTTAGAAGGAATAGTAATTTATTTATGAAAAATATTGACAGACATAACACTAATACGAGGAATAGAAATAAACTAGCTTTTCTTGATAGTCGTCTTCACAAAGTCAAAAAATCATTTAAGGGGCAATGTATACGCTTCTATAACAAGATTCCGGTTGATATACAAAATTTGCCTTTCACGAGGTTTAAAACTATAGTGAAACAAAAACTTTATACTAAAGGTTATTATACAACTTCTGCGTACTTGGATGACAAAAATCCGTGATAGTAAGCCGTTTAGCTCATGGAGGTAGTCTCGATCTCTGATGTTTCAAATAAAAAAAAAATATTGTAAATGTTATTTACAAAGAGCAACCCCTAGAGTTTCTTGCTCATTCTTCTCAGGGGAATCTGCCTTACGAATGAGCGGTAGAGTTTAATATTGTGACGATTTCAAGTGTAATAATGCTTACCTATGAAATAAAGATTATTTTGAATTTGAATTTGAATTAGTTCAATACAACATAGTACAATATAATACAATACAATGCAGTGCATCGTGTGGCATCGCTTTAAGGAGCATTGAGTTATCCTCGTTGAAACCCTGGCTACCAAAGTATTTATCAAAAGGCTGAAAGCTATTTTCCTCCAACGGAGATACATCGTGTACTGAAAATGACAGTGATACAACGCAAAATTATGCGATTTTCAGCTAAAACAAAATGTTACCTACATACAAGTATTATACAAATTTTCACCTACCACAATAAAATAAAGTTATTTTTGAGAATTTCGTTTAGTATCACTTTTCCTCATAATCTTTTCATGTAATGTCGTCACAGAGGATTCATGAATTATACCATGAAATTTAATTTTAAATCTGGCTCAGCAATCCTGTACTATATTAGTCTTAATGCTAAACCACTGCAAAGCGACACTATTCAAAATAATTACGATATCTTTCACGGAATTACTAGTAATTTGTTTCACAACTCAGCGATCAATGTCACTAACAAAAAAATGTCAGCATCGCGCTGTCTCCCGTATCCCGTTCCCTTGTACCTACTGCATGACATCATTACGTCATATAGCCAATTCCAGGCAAACAACGAACACGCAGGTTTTGCATTATAAAGTTCGTACTCTGAAATCCAAGATGACGTTGAAAATAAAAAAATAAAATAGTATTTTGAATAGTGACATTGTCATACTCAGTGTGCGATGTATTTGAAACAGAATTGTTTTGCCTTGAGATGTCATGACACAAAATCCAACCAGCCGTACGTGGCGTGTAAGACTAAGCTAAGCTAACGTCCATTAGCGCCATGAATATTCATCAACGAAGTTACAATGGCGGCTTGTTAACGATCAAATAATTATGTATATCGATTCGAAGGGGTGTTAAAATATGATTGGTGTTTGTGTCTTAACATTGATGTTGGTATTCCGGAAGTTACATAAATATAACTTAATGTCGTCTATCTCCGGGCTGTAAAGTTTTACTAATAATAATAATGCACGTTGCATAGCCCCGCACTACGGAACCCTGTATCGCGTATATAGACAACCATAATCTCGGTATAGAGTACTAAAAAAACCGACCTCAAAACTACGTGGAATTACGTCTATTTGCTAAGTTTTATTGAAATATCCCCTAGTTCGCCACTATAGAGGACTTGACACTGGAGGTAATAAAAATAGGTTCTCACTACGATACTACACAAAGTATATTGAGAGAAAAACGCCTTGAATTGGAGAAATAGCAAAATCAACCATTAAAGTAATTGCTCCTAAATTAAAGTTAGGCGCTATTTATAAAAATGAATCTTCATGCGTGAACAGCCACCCTTCGAGGTGGATGATTTTCTTCAAAATGAAATGGGACCACTATGGAAGTACCCCCTTTCCAACAAAAAAAAAGAATCATGAAAATCGGTTCACAAATACCGGAGTTATCGCGTAACGTACATACAAAAAAAAAGTACATACAGTCGAATTGAGAACCTCGTTTTTGAAGTCGGTTAAAAAATTGCACCCAAACTCAAGAGAGAAACAAATATACGCCATACTATAATAGGATAGATAATAGGATGAATAAGTTGAGATAATAGTGTTGTTAAGAGTCGATACTACGAACCGATTCATTTTTCGATTTCTGTTGCGCGGGTCCACCGCTGCCACTGGACAGCTGGACAACGCGTACACTGGCTTTATTTCAGAATTTGTTTTTTACAAACGAAAATAAAGCTATTTGAAAAATGTGTATCATATGCTATACGTGTTCTATTTAGGTCAGTTGATATAAAAAAAAAAATTGGTATATGTAAAGTACTTATTGAATACGGCGGTTTTCTTGTAAAATTTCGAGGTAAGTTTGTCGTGAAAATTTTTAGGTATCGTGTTTTCACACAGTATAATAGTCAGTGCACATCCTTAATTTTATTATATATTTCTTTTCAAAGTTATTGATCAACACTTTCTCTGTTACGCAGAGTCAAATGTAATTGATTGTCTGACATACCCAAATAGCCCATCCTTACCATAATTCCGGTATCGTTGATTCTCGATTTGTCAGTCATGGCTAGCACCGCGACGCCCATGCTGCTGCGAACTACGATCAGTGACGTCATGCAGACGAACATGCAAACTGCCTGCACATGTCGAATGCCCCAACCGAAGGCTACAACGGTAAGAATAAGGTTAACACTATATGATTTTTGTTTACAGGTCGTTATCATCCCATTTATTGAATACAATTTAATAATGGGTCTGTGTCGCGGGTGCCATGTACACACATATAGACAACCACAAATTACATCCAAACTCACGAGTGAAATAAATGTAGGACATACACATGTTTCTCTCGGCCTGGGAATCGAACACGCAGAGGGCGTGGCATTCCAGTATGGTAACCGTTCGGCCACAGAGGCAGTTAAAATATATAAATATTAAATAAGCAAATATAAACAAACAATAGAAGGTTATAGGTAATAAAATTTTAAATAAAATTATAGGTAAAAAAAGTAAAGAAATTAAAAAAGTGACATTTTCGTCTGACAAAATAAATGAAAAAAAAAATGTGCCAGTACAAATTATGCATTGTCTACGGCCATTTAAAAAAATATATTTTACCGCGTATTTCAAGAACAGGCGGGAAGGTTTTAAGGTTATAATAACAAATCACACACATCTTTACAATGTTATAAAAAATTATTCCAGTTAGATTGGGACATGGTTGGCATGTCTTATCTCATCCACCATATTCGCCCGACACTCCCGCTTCAAATTTTCACTTATTTTGGTCTTTACAAAATTCTTTAAATGGACATGACCTTTATGACGAAAAGACCATCAAACGATACTTATAGAAGTATTTTATGAGTCAAGACAGGATTTTTTATGAAAGGGGAATTTTAAAATTACCCAAAAACCAGCAAAAGATTGTAGATCAACAATTATTGATACATATTTTTGAAATGTTTTTCATTTGTACCGCTCGGACTTTTTGACCGTTGTTTATTTTTTAAGTACTACTTTTTGGTTTCCTCACTTTATTAATAAGGGTACGAATGGTCCTTAAAAAGCAATACAATAATACGAAAAATAAGAAAATTTCAGACCCATTTCATGAATATTTGAAACCATCAAATTGAAAAACAATCGGAAACGAAATGATATTTGCCAACAATTCAAATTAATTTTCTAAATTGAGGGCTTCATTTTAAATTATATGGTAAAAACTGACAAGTTTAATGTGGTCTGTCGTCAAGTTGCGGATTTTTTGAAGACACAAATTTCTTCCACTAATAACACAAATATTTAATGTCAAAAGTCGATATCAATAGCATTTCGGAGGTCAAAATTAACTTGCCAGCTTTTATATGATTCAGAATAATAAAATATTTACTTCTCGTCTCGTTGCGCTGCTTCTCTGGACATTTTTCCGCGTGGACTTTTACCATATTTTCAAATTTTTGACTGCGCTGTGTCGCACTCCACCTCGCAATGATAGTTTTATTTTCTCACACATCAAGTAGTCCAAATAACTTTGAGATTTTGTGAAAATACACATACAGGAAAATAGTCTCTTTACGATTGTAATAGAATTTCATTTCGCGCTCGTGCCAACAGCGTAAGTTCCGTGTACCTACTCCCAAGCACTGATCTGTAAGTAAGCATCATTTGGTATGTGTTGTTTACCAACAGCGATAACATGGATGTAAAACGACGACTGTCATTGCACAGTAAAACTATTAATTACGAGCTCGTACAAACAAATTGCGTAGTACAGATGCAGCGTTTTAATTATTTGTTAGTTCAGAGAATCAATAAAAATAATCATTGAAAAATCATAATCACCTAATGAGTAGAGATTTTCGCAATCATAGAACAAAAATACATTAAGTTTATTCAATGTCAGGATTTCTTCTATAACCGCTCACGCGATACATGCAGCCGTAGACGCATACCACACCTAGAGGTGCCAGTGATGATTTTATACCGATTTATCGGATATCGAAGTTATAACAGGTAAAAGAACTAATATTAATTGCTATTTCGGTAACTACTCTAGCAAACCATAAAGTTTTTAATGCCTGGGTCTGTCATTTAAAAAATAAACAACTTCAAAAATACGTCACGACAATCGTGTGTTATTGTTTGGGCTGGTGATTTCGGTGTTTATTTATTGAAAACATACCGTAAGTAGCGTTTTTTAAGTTTACCCTGAATATAAATGTTTATAAACTATACTTTAAGGAGTAATTTCATGGTAAACGTTAGAACCATTCAAACGGAATATTATCATATTTATCCAAGTACATCAAAAATTTCATTAGTGCTTTTTAAGTGCAGGATTTGCGGTGTATTACTGCATTTTATTTGAGATGTTTTTGTTGGTAGTACGGAGGGTGTTTATTTAGTAATGCAGAATAATAATTTTTATTTATAAAAACTTGTATTTAAACTGAATCCTTTTCTATTTTGCGAAACCAAATAGCCACCATTTTGCGGTACGAGGAGCGCATCGCGTGAGCGGATAATACCAAGTGACTGGCGGTAAGCGACACGCCAATCCATCGCAAAGATGTTATAGGCACTGCCACTGCGTCTGTCACCCCGAGACATAAAATGACAAGTTCCATATGTTTGTGATTTCACCAACACCTTTACGCTTCTAAATCGGAACGCAGCAATACTCATATTACTGCTTGGCGGCAGAAATAGGGGTAAAAAAAAGATACTTCCCTGGACGAAATCTTTCACAAGGAGCTCTATTGCCACTGAATGTTTCACCACGCTGCTATTCAAGCTACATCGTCGACCTCATCATCACTTTCCATCAGGTGAGATGAAGGTCAAATACGCACTTATTTTTTCATTAAAAAAAATTGTGAAATTACTTCACACTAGTTTGTCATGATTATTAAAAAAGTTCCTTCGATCCAGCTGGGTTCGAACCAGCGTCTTCTAGCAAACAATGTCAGATCCTATGCCAACTAAGCCAAGGAAAGAAACAGCGAACCTTACGAATTCTTCTATGTGCTTCGTTTTTGGTTTTTTTAACGACTTTCTTGCCTTAGCGTCATCTGTCATTACAGACACATGGGACTTGTTAACCTACGTCTCAGGGTGACAGGCGCAGAGGCAGTGCCCCTCGGATCTTTGTGATTTAAAGCTCTGAGTGGCACTGCAACTGTTATTGACAAGCACGTTGCTTACTATCAGGCGCACCACTAGTTCGTCCCGCCGCTTGATACCTCTTTGTTCGTTTTATTACGGATGTGATCATGCAGCGAGATACTGAGAAACACCGTGATAACAAACAATAATTCCTCTATTGTCTGGGTTGAAACACTCGATATTGAATTCAAATATTAATTTTATTATACGCACTCAATGACTGCCATGATTCGTCTTTTCATTGTTTTGTGATAATCAAGAATCTCTGGCACATTTATTATTTTTATATTACAAACTAGGTCAAAGTCGCCTAGATGTAGATAACAAAGGAATTATTTTTCATGTTTTACAGGGTACTTTGCTAAGACTATAACTCTAGAAAAAGGTAGAACGACGCTGCAAATACTACAATGTACGACATTGTTGTAGCAGTAGAGCTCCTTGTGAAAGAATTGGTCCAGGGAAGTACTGCTTATTTATTTTTGCTGTACCTCATCTACTTCTGCCTCTAATCAGGAATGTGACGCTCCAATTTAGAGAGGTAAGCTGGTGAATTAAAATCTCATGGTGACGAGCGGACAGGTAATGCTCATTAGATCTTTGTGATTTATAGTTCTGAATGGCAATGCAACTGTTATGGATAGGCGTGTCGCTTATCATCAGGCGCACGACTGGTTCGTGTTATAAAAAAATCCAGTCAGTACCTACTACCAAAAAGGATAATCAACTTATATGTAATTACAATATTTTTATTAAATGTTTGTTTTTACCATCGAGTATATAACCAGAAATAGAGACGAAATAAGGGCCACTATTCCTGGTATCACATTGGCGATACAGCTCTTATAAATATATAGACACGCCAACTACTGACCTGTGTGTACGTCGCCGTATATTCCAAAAAATATTCTGTATTTATTATAATAAAGATAATATCTCTAACAATGCCGTGCTGTTCTATTCGGTGGTGTGGGAAAAAACATTAAAACATCTAATTACAAAACAAACGGAATCACATTTCGTCGGTAATTAAATATGTAATTTTGCAATTTTCGTCCATTATGGCAAAGCTCAAGTTAACTGGTCGATTTGAAGTGAAACAGTTGACGACACCCGTCAATTGTTTTGAATTCGGGCTAGCCAATCGGAGCGCAGTTGTCACAGTAATGATATGGCAGAATAGTTTTCAAGCAAATTAAATGACATTTCGTCTCCATTTCTGGTTATATACTTGATGGTTTTTACTGCCGCGATGTTCATCTTTTGTGATAACACTCCAATTCTTGTTATCGTATCATGGCGTTCACTATAAAGGCTGATTCATATCGGTGTAGACGGTGTAGCCGGGGCCGGGCCGTGCTCCGGTCCTGCGCCGGCCGTGAAACTGTTAAATATCTACATACATGCATTTGTATGAACTTCATGAAGATCGGGCCGAGTCCATGCCACGGCAGAACCACGGTATTTTTTTCCGGTTCCAACCGGCCCGGTCGCAACATGTCGTAATATGAATGCATTCGCCGGGCACCCGAAGGGTAGTCAACGTTGGACTATAGTGTAGTGGACTCCAGTCAATATGTACACACTATCTTCTTTTTAACCGACTTCAAAAAAGGCAGGATTCTCAATTCGACTGAATGTTTTTTTTTTGTATGTATGTTACGCGATAACTCCGACATTCGTGAACAGATTTTGATGATTCTTTGTTTTGTTGGAAAGAGGGTACCTCAGATGTAGTCCCATTGAAATTTGAAGAAAATATTCCACCTCTAAGGGTGGCAAATTAGGGGATGAATGACATTTGAGGTCGGTTTTTTAGTACTCCGTACTGTTTTTCTAGTTTCAATTTGTGTTTCCAATACTTCGTCATCAAGAGCTATTGCAATAACTGGCAACTCAAATTGTGAAAATTGCATTAATAACGCAACCCTATCACTCAAGAGAAATGGGAAATACGTGACGGGCCCGACCGGGCACTGTGAAACGTGGATCAGTGTTAATGCTTGCCATCGCGGCGAAAGGATTTCCTAATCGACGTAAGGTACTCGTCGATTGATGTCCAGGGTGCGCTAGACGCACAGGAATGGAAGGAATTCTTGTAGGGAGTCTCCTCTCGTGCACCCACTCCACTTTATTATTATTGACAGAAGCATTGAAGAAACATAAAGAAAAATTATTTCGATCCGACTGTCGACTTTCGATACCATCGGGATTTGTCGCATGCCGCGACTGCACTCACCGAAACGGATCATAAATAAAATTGCATTTGTAAATGTGTCCCAGAAGTGTGCACGGAAGTGCAATATATTTTGCTTGACCGAATTACGTTATTAATTAATTACCTGTTAAACTGGATATAGTAATTTCATTTAGTGATGAGACGAACAAGTCATGCGCCTGGTCGGTAAGCACGACTACCTATAGAAGTTGCACTGCCACTCACAGTTTTAAATCGCTAAGATAAGATGCCACTGCGCCCGTCACCTTGAGACGTAAGTTGACAAATCCCATGTGCCTGTAATTTCACCAGCACCCTTACCCTTCAAAACCGAACGCAGTAATGTTCGTAATACTGCTTGGCGGTTAAAATCCTTATTTTAGGGTTTAAGTTGTAAGATTTTCTTCTTTACCTTCCAAACTACTAAATAGCATTAATTGTAAGTTATAAAAATAAATAAAT